TCGAAATCTAACCCAAAATCATCGACATCACAGGGACTCATAGCTTCGCTTTTTCATTGAAACCAAAAATCAATCGTCCACTATAATCGACTCCAAATATTCGTTAGATTCGATACCAACCCAAATCAAATTCACAAAATCGATATCAACTGCAATCGATTTCAACAGTTCTCAATGCAAAATTTGTTCGTCTCCAAACCATCGAATCCAGTCAACACACAAAGTTCGTCATCAAGAACACCACATATCCAAATTCGAAATTAAACTCAAATTTAAGCTCGATTTCGACATCTACAGCCCTTGTTCAACTTGTATCACCCGATTTCTACTTCCAATTCAATGAATCAACGCTTAAAAATTGATTTTGACTTTTTCTAGAATTGACTTTTCGAAGTCAAGAATCAATAAACAGAAAATCGAGGATTCCAACACCAAATCGTAGATCACACTAGGTTCAAACAGCTGTTCTAACCATGTTCTTCACAAAAATTTGAGATTTCTTGATCAATTTCATCAAACTCAAAAACTTGATTTTCGAAATCTTAGTTTTAACTTGATCACAATCGATCTTTGAGATTAAATTCAATGTAAAGAATCGATTCACAAGTACATCTTCCACAAACAAACTAATCAATCGACAAGAATAATGAAAGAAGAACGAGACTCCAAAACAAGAACAAAAGAAAAGTTGAATGCGACTTCAGAACATATGACGATGCTGTTGACTTAATTTCGATGAATCAATGGACTCCCACATTAAAATCAGATTAAATGACATTAGGGCTTAAACAGTGAGTAATATTAATCAATCAATGGGCTCAAGAATTTTGGCATGAACAGTTCAGATTTCTTTTATTGGGTTTTGAATATCGAACAGTAAACACAATTCAGTTTGGGCTTGAATTTTGGATTGATGAACAATAACGAAAATTTGATTTTAGGCTTGATCTTAAAACAAAAATTATTGGATCAACAATGAGATTTGAAACGAATTAGATCCAATGAATCAAAACGATCAAAAATCAAGAACGTAACGCACGAATCAACGAGATTAAGAGAGATCATAGAGAGAGACTCACCATAAATGCTCAAATTGTGACAAATTTAGCTAAACCGAGAATCGTTTCTTCAAACAATCGTGTTGATCATCGAAGACCCGCTCTGATACCAAATGTAGTGAATTATGAACATTGGTTTGGCATGCGGAATTAAAGAACACACAATGAACACGGTGATTTGGGTGGTTAAGAGATGCATTCGATTATGTATGGTGTTACAAAAAAGGATCTAGATCTAAATCTACATAATTAACACACACACACACACACACACACACTCAATGTTACATCTCTCAAGCACACCTCCATAAGTGGTATGAACCCACCTTATATAGAGGTGTTTACATGTCTCTCTCTCACTCTCTATCTCATAAGTCATAAGGCTAATGCACCACATGCAAGTGGGTCTACAAAAGTCAACCCATTTACAAAGTCATACATGGATAACTTTGCACCCAACATATTGTAGGCAGCAGACTCCAGCTCCTGGGGTCAAATTATGTTATCATTGTGAGCAGATGGGCCATATGAAGGCCCAGTGCCCCCTACTAGCCGCCAAGCCGGCGCAGGCTCCTGCGCCAGCTACACTGAGGATCACTGACAGGAGTCAGGGTCGAGCAACGCCCCCGAGGGCCCAGGGACGTGCCTTCCAGCTTACAGCAGAGGAGGCAGGGCATCACCAGACATGGTTGTTGGTATGTTTCTATCCCTTATCTTACTGATTATATATGTTTTATGCTTATATGTTTGTACCTATGATTAGGTACGTTTTTAGTGAACTCCTTACCTGCTTTGGTATTATTTGACTCGGGGGCGAGTCGGTCGTTTATTTCTCAGTCTTTCAGTAGGGATTTCGGGTTGCCGGTGGGAGAGTTAGAGCGTCCGTTGCGAGTCTCCATCGCCAACGAACACGGGGTTTCTGCTTCTTCGGTCTATCGGGGTTCATATTGGAGATTTTCGGAGTATCTTTTCCGATAGACCTGATTCTGATTCCCATGGGGGATGTATGTGTGATTGTGGGTATAGACTGGCTTATTCATTTCGGTGCCATGATTGACTGCGAGGGTCAGCGAGTGGTAGTTCGAACCCCAAGTGGGGGAGAACTGATTGTTTATGGCGAGGGCACCAGATTGGGGTCAGGGTTTTGTTCGGCTGCCAGGGCTCAACAGTACATTCAGCACGGGTGTGCGGGTTACGTAGCGTATGTGATGGATACGCGGGTCAGGGATCAGATTTCAGTATCAGATGTTCCACTAGTCTGAGAGTTTGCTTACGTGTTTCCGGAGGAGTTACCAGGAGTGCCTCCAGAGAGACAGGTCGAGTTCAGGATCGACCTTGTGCCAGTTGCGGCCCCTATCGGCAAGGCGTCGTACCGGTTGGCACCACCGGAGATACAGGAGCTGTCATCACAGCTTCAGGAACTGTTGGGCAAGCAGTTCATTCGTCCGAGCAGTTCTCCATGGGGAGCGTTGATTCTCTTCGTCAGGAAGAAGGATGGTTCACATCGGATGTGCATTAACTATCTGGAGTTGAACAAGTTGACGGTGAAGAACCGTTATTGTCACACCCCCAAACCGGAACGACGGAAACGTTTGGGGGCGGAGGACGTCATGTACAGTGTCACAACAATGAATAATAGTAATCAGAGTAACCACAACTATTGTATTAATAATATAGTGTTTACATTGTATTTGAATCACCTATGATTAACAGCAAAAGTAATTAGAAAAACAAAGACAAGAAGCTACTATGCTCCGTCTTCTCGAAAACCCGTGCGAGTACTTGTCTACTAGCATCCTGAGAATACAAGTGGTTTTGAAATTGTCCACATTAAAGTTGGTGAGTTCATAAGCCTTTTTTTTAGAAATTTTGTTCTCTGTTTCCTGTAAACCTTGTTGTGTTCCTCCAGAAAATCCTATATTTTCTGATGTAATAAATGATAAGTAAAAATGACCCATACTAGTTCCTTCTACGAGTACTTAGTGTATACAAGTTATATACAATCCAGATCGCATTGACAATCGATTGTGTGGTTCTTCCATAAGCCCACAACTAAACAAGGAACGGGAAATGAGGCGGAAACCACACATTCCACTGCCTAACGGATCTTCATTTTATATAACCCTAACGTATTTTCCATGTACTTACATAATTAACTGTAATAGTCCTTTTTGAATGGTGAGTGTGTTCTTTCAGAAAAATCCAATATTTTCTTAGTATGATTGAGATGTAATCTTAAACTCTAAGACCATAACGCTTGTATGTTAATGTACGCCGAGTTCGTATACCTGTTGTTTTGTTACTTGATAAAACGGCTCTGATATATGTGTTTCCCCAACGTTGTAAGTTTTGTACTAGAAAATAGTGTGTTATACTGGTACGTATTAGTATGGCCCATATCTGTTCTTCCTATAATTACTTGGTGCATACGAGTTATATATATAATCAAGATCGAACGGACAGTTGATTGAGTGATTCTGCCCTAAACCCACAACCAAACAAGGAACAGGAAATGAGGCGGAAAAAACCCATCCTACTGCCTATCGGATATTATATATATATATATATAACCCTGCCGTATAAGCTAAGGAATCATAGAATTAACAATAGGGTCCTTTATGATCTGCTAGTTCATAAAACCTTGTTTGGTAAAGTCCTGTGTTGTAGTTTTATAATTAAATAAAACTAAGTGAAGTTTGTTTATATTCATACACTAATCGTTCAGTTAATACCAAATTGTGAGTTTTTATAACCATACTTGATGACCCAGGATGGCCTGATATGACGTTCATAAGGTGTCGGAAACGTTAAGACATTTGTCACCCCAGGCCTGCCAGCTTAACTGTAGCTAACAGTTTAGGTGCGAGATTGTCAGTCCCATATAGATCTATACACAAACTCACACTCTCCCTCCAGGAGACTCTGGTTATAAAATCAGGGCTTTTGTTGGTACTTAGATAAGTAGTTGAAGGGAAGTCTCACAAAGCTATATTGACGGTTACGTGTAGAATAGAGAAAAACCTTTTTATAATAATAAGTGGTTTGTATTATCCTTTTCATAGTTAAAACCTTACACTACTAGAAAAATACCCTTTAATGACGCGCAAAACATGACACGCGCTGTTTTACGATACGCAAAAGTGTGTGCCCTAAAAATAATGTCAGTTCTTCCAAAATGTGAAGGATTTAGGACGCGCATTTTTGCGTGCCCTAAAATTAGTGTAAAAAAAACGCGGAGGTCACCTATCTTAAAAAGCGTATCGTGAAATCATGTCACTATATATATATATATATATATATATATATATATATATATATATATATATATATATATATATATATATATATATATATATATATATATATATATTTTAATGAAACGCGCGTCTTCATCTTTAGTAGCAGTGGGAAAAGGAATTCCTAAAATAATTAGAAAAGTTGAAAACCTCGCCATGGCGATTTAGGGTTGGTTCCGTCTCCATCTCTCGTTCACTTCCATCTCAACTTTCTCTTCCATCTACAATCTCTCTTTCCGGCAATGAAGGTTTCTCATGATTTTTTGTTGTACTCACAAGCCCTAGGTCCTGATGCGTGATGCGTGCGTATCTTGCTGCACCTGATGCATTCTTTGGATTTTTTTAAGCAATCGTGATATAGAACAGACGTCCCCTCTCCCACCGATCAAGCTTCAGAATGATTGTTATCCCTCCTCCTTCCCCTGCGAATACGCTCCCACCTCCCATAATGTCAAACTCCTAAAACTGCCTCCTTCTTTTAATCCTACCGACAGTCCGACACCATTAAATTGGATCCCTACATGCTCTTGTCATCAAAATATCCAAATCAGAGATTCATCTCATCTTCTTCTTCTTATTCTTATTTCTTGAATCCTTTCATTGCTCACGTGATCAACGATGGATCAGAAATCGATTAAACAGTTAGATGCCGACAAAGAACAACCTACCAACAACATCAATTGCAGAGCGTGGCTATTACCTTCTTGTCCAACGACCCGTCAACTCCTCCATGCTTCCTCTTCATGGCTGCAGCGAACCCAAATCCCCTTGTCTGCCAATGATTTCCCCATGGCGTTCTGTGTGCATTGATAAGGGTTTTCACCTTCGTCCCTTCTACTCTGACAGGTCTGATACATTCCCCTAAAAAGAAAAATAATTTCTTATTCTTTTATTATCATCATCTTCATTACTACTTGACAGGTGAACGATCTTTTCTCTATACCTAAAGCAAAACTTATACCAATTTTTCTTTAAGCAAAGCAGATAAATATATCATTCAAGCAGTGAAGGAAATAATAGTTGAATGTTATATGATTATGAACAGGGGCAAATGCGTTAAATAAATAATGTTTCTTTTTGTTATGGATGGTGCACAGGACAAGGGCAGGCTGGTCAAGACTGGAAGCTTTACACATTCATATCCATTTTGTTGAAGATCTGATACCCCTCTTATCTACAGAGCAGTTCCCAACTAGTACCCTATTTTTCCTTATCTCATGTGCAAGTTTAAACTGTTCTTTCATTGCTATTGCCAATTCAAACAGATGTAAGTTAAATAAGGTTTTGACTGATAATTCTTCTGGTTCTAAGGTAACTAACTTATTCTAACATACATTTTTATAAATTTTGCATGAAAATGATGAAATATATTATATAAATCTGATTTGCATGATTTTGATTATAAGATTATTCACTCAGATTACTGTCAAAGAATATTGTAATGAGGATGCACAATGTTCATTTGTTGTTGACAAAATATTAGAACTCACTTCTTCATCTGTCAAAGGCACTTTTGGATAGATTGTTGTTCTTTACAGGAGAAAAGTGTAATGGTTTGGTTGGGAGCTGTCCTTGAGGCCACCAAAAATACTTTGATTCAAGGAAGTTTAAGATTCACTTATTGCGTGTGATATTTGAAAAGGAATTGAAATGTGGTCTGGTGGTTGTTCTCTACAGCTTGAGTATGATATTTTGGAATATGTTGTGATCGAGCGGCTTGTACAAGGGGGTCGTGAAAAGCTAAAAGATGACGGCCTAAACTTATCAGTCTGACTTCAGTCTTTGGCATCATTTTGGGGTCATCTTTTCTCCTTTCTACTTCATCTTACTGCCTCTTTTATTTTTAATCTATGCTCCTAGAATAATGAATCCACAATCTCCTTGCAGCCCTTTCCTCTACAAACCAATTATTTTGATAGTCATGCAAATGAAAATCCTGGGTCATATATGATGGGTTTTAGTATACTACAACATCCTATGGTGCACATACAACCCTAAATGCTTTGGATCTATGTTTTTTGTAATTATACATGCAATATTGTTTCCAAAACATTAAGCCTACAACTATCATACAATGTGATATAAACAACATAAAATTGAGTTATGGAGTTACCTTTTGGTTGTTGGTTGTAAGATTAGGGTTACACCATGTAAACCCTAATGTGCATGACCTTCAATATTCCTTAGGCTCCATGGGTTTAAATGAAGAGTTTTGAGCTTTCTAACACTCTTAAGGTGTACATGCAACCCTAGAAACCTTGGATCTATGTTTTCTCTAAGATACATGCAAATAATAAATTTCCAAGGTTTACATCCTAACTAGCATGGCATGGGGAACTTGAATCATAAGATGCTAGAAGAATTACATACCTTTTAGTAGTGGTTGATTCCTTGGAGTTTGAGAGCCTAGAACCAATAATGTGGATGCCTCAAATGGAAGTCACAATTCGGCTATCTCCTTTCTCACACACAACTAGTGCCAAATCAAGTGCCAATGACTCCTTTATATAGTGTGGAGGATTAGGTTTACATTCCATATAAACCCTAATACCCATGACTCTTCCTTTCCAAGGATCCATGGGTTAAAAGCTCCATGGACTATCCATGGACTCCCATGCAAGCCTAGCCCATTCCAAATGAGTATTAGCCCACACTATATAAATACAAGAGCCTATATTTAATTAGTCACCTTTTTTATCACCAAATTAATTCCAAATTAATTTAAGATCAATACTAATTAAATAATATGATTTCATATTAATATATTATAACTTATAATATATTAATAAATCACAAACATACAGTTCTCAAAGGATTATCCATACAAATAGTTCGGGTGAAGTGCAACCCAAATGGACCATGTCGGGTCGGGTCAAGTATATACCAAATAAAGTTATGGACTTAGACACCTTATCCAACAGTCTCCCACTTGGATAAGTCTAATAACTATATTTGCCTATACGACTTCTGGAACCAACCGGGAATCGTAGCTCTTAAAACTATGTTGAACTATGAATCGCCATTTCAGATAAGTGATCATATAATCCTCTGTTCTCAAGATATCAGCCGGAAAAATACATGGAACAATGTCGTACTTATTGTCCAGCAGTTTGTTTCCTGATTTCCGATTTGTTTGACATAGAACTAAATTGAACACATCAATTAGGTTCTAACCGGGCCCGGTACATAGGTCAAAACAAAATCATCGAGGGGCCCAGATATCGCTTTTAATCCTCCAAAGACTAAAAGGAACAGATAAACTTCGACTCATATGCTTGTTCTACTACTTGTTGAATCATACACAAAGGCACGTTTTATGACATCAAGTTACTGATGCGTTTTCGTGTAATCAATACATAACCAACTCATAGGCAACAACTCATATCTCTAGGTTTGAAGACTTATATGATATTACCGTCTCACGATCACTCGATATAAATTCCATGAAGTGATACAAGTGAGCGTGGGTTTAATCCAATACTCAGAACTTATGAGCACTCATGAATGTTGTAGTAACTCTTTACTATGTCCAACACCTTAGACATCTACAAGCCCAATTCATGAAAGTCTTAATTCATACCTACTTCCGATGTATGACCGACTGAGGATAGTTTGAATAAAGTAATTATTCTGGAAGTCAAAACCTGCAAAATTGAAACAATAGTAAATAATTGACAAAAGATAGCAACACCTTACTCATAAATAAACAACAAATTTTATTCATCATCAAATGTCAATTACATTTTACAAGTTTCAGAAATGACTATCTAATTTGTAAAACAAATATCGTCCCTCAGTCCGATGCGCCTCGCATGTTGCAAATGCCTAACCCTAGTCAGTCCCTTCATGAGGGGATCTGCAGGGTTCTCTTCTGAAGATACCCTCTTTGCCACGAGGTGTCCTTCTTCTATCTTGTGTCTTATGAAGTGGTATTTTCTGTCAATGTGTCTGAATCTGCCATGATCTCTCGATTCCTTGGCTAAGGCAACCGCACTATTGCTGTCACAGAAAATCTCCACAGGCTCCTTTATAGCTGGTACAACTCCAATGTCTCCGATGAAGTTCCTCAGCCATATCGCCTCCTTTTCCGCTTCACTCCCTGCTATATACTCTGATTCACAAGTCGAATCAGCTACTGTCTCCTGCTTGGAACTTTTACAGGTAATTGCCCCTCCATTCATGGTAAAGACCCAGCGCGACTGAGAGCGGAAATTATCCCTATCAGTCTGAAAGCTAGCATCACTATACCCCACTACTCTCAAGTCATTACTCCCACCAAGGGTAAGGACACAGTCCTTAGTCCTTCGCAGGTACTTGAGAATGTTCTTTACTGCAGTCCAGTGAGCCTTGCCAAGATTCCCCTGATATCTGCTGACCATGCTCAAAGAAAAGGCCACATCAGGTCGAGTACAAGTCATAGCATACATGATCGAGCCAACAGCGGAAGCATAAGGTAATCGACCCATCTTAGCCATCTTAGCCTCTGTACTCGGGCTCTGAGCCTTGCTCAGTTTGGCATTATGCTGGATCGATAAGTCACCTTTCTTGGAATTCTGCATGTTGAACCTTTTCAACACTTTATCCACATAGGTGCTTTGACTAAGTCCAATTAGTCTTTTACTCCTTTCTCTCAATATCCTTATCCCTAGGATATAGGTAGCTTCCCCAAGGTCCTTCATAGCAAAACACTTCCCAAGCCAGGACTTAACCTCCTGCAAGGTTGGGATGTCATTTCCTATGAGTAGTATGTCATCCACATACAACACCAAAAAGTTAACTATACACCCACTAGCTCTGACATATACACATGATTCATCTTCGCTTCTCGAAAAACCAAACTCTTTGACTTTCTCATCAAAACAAAGATTCCAGCTGCGAGATGCTTGTTCTAATCCATAAATGGATTTCTTAAGCTTGCACACTCTATTAGGGTACTTTGCATTGAGAAAACCCTCTGGCTGACTCATGTAAACATCCTCAGCCAACTTTCCATTAAGGAAAGCGGTTTTGACATCCATCTGCCATATTTCATAATCATGAAATGCAGCAATGGCTAACATAACCCTAATAGACTTAATCTTCACTACTGGTGAGAAGGTTTCATCATAATCAATACCCTGAGTTTGAGTGAAACCCTTCACAACCAGTCGGGCCTTATAACTGTGTACCTTTCAATCCATGTCAGTCTTCTTCTTGAAGATCCACTTGCACCCGACTGTCTTACGGCCCGGTAGATTGTCAACCAAGTTCCAAACTTGATTGACATACATGGACTGAATCTCGCTGTCCATAGCCTCTTTCCATTTAGCAGACTCGGGGCCTGCCATGGCTTCCCTATAGCTGTTAGGTTCATCCAAATTTACCAGTGTACTATCACTGATAAATGTATCACCTTCCGCAGTAATATGGAAACCATAGTAATGCTCAGGTGCATTCCTAACTCTAGTGGAACGCCTAAGAGGTACAGTCTCGTCAGTTGGATCAACAGGAGTTTCCTCCTCAGGTTGATTGATAGGCTTTGAGGTTCCTTCACCACTTGACTCTTGAATTTCTTCAAGGTCAATTTGCCTCCCACTGTTTCCTTGGCTTATAAATACTCTCTCGCGAAAGACCCCTCTCCTTGCCACAAAGACCACATTCTCACTGGGTCTATAGAAGAGGTAACCAAAGGATTTCTGTGGGTAGCCGATGAAAATACACCTCTCACTTCGAGGTTCGAGCTTGTCGTGAGTCTCACACCTCACGAAAGCCTCGCAACCCCAAATCTTGATGTGGTCCAAATTGGGAACTTTCCCAGTCCACATCTCGTGAGGTGTTTTGACAACCTTTTTGGTAGGGACAAGATTAAGGATATGGGCGGCAGTCTCTAAGGCATACCCCCAAAATGAGATTGGTAGCGAAGCTCGACTCATCACGGAACGAACCATGTCCAACAAGGTCTGATTACATCTCTCAGCCACACCATTATGTTTTGGTGTTCTGGGAGGTGTCAATTGTGAGACAATCCCACATTCCTTAAGATAGCCAAGGAACTTTGTACTAAGATACTCACCACCTCGATCGGATCGAAGCATCTTAATGTTCCTGCCCAGCTGATTCTCCACTTCCTGTTTAAACTCTTTGAACTTTTCAAAGGTTTCTGACTTATGCTTGATTAAGTAGACATATCCATATCTACTATAGTCATCGGTAAAAGTCACATAGAAGCGGTTAATATCCCTTGTGGCGGTTCTGAAGGGTCCACACACATCAGTATGTACAAGATCCAACAAACCTTCACCCCTAGCACAAGTACCAGTGAAGGATGACTTTGTCATTTTTCCAAGTAAACAAGATTCACAACTATCATCTGACTTTAGGTCAAATGACTCCAATACTCCATCCTTTTGGAGTTGGCCTATGCGTTTCTTGCTCACATGTCCAAGACGACAATGCTATAATGATGCTTTATCCAAACTAATGGAAGAATCAATACACAACACATTATTTCCTGGGTTATCTACAACCAAAACAGCTTCATA